TAAACTGAAACACTCAGAAGAACCATAATAATATTAAATCATAAAAATCGGGTGAGCTATGTGCGCTTGAATGTACAGTAAAGTGATGACATCAGAATACAACTATTCATAAATCTGAAGTTGAATTATGTTTGAGACGTATGCTTGCAGTCTTCCCTTGACAATATTGTTATATAATCTTTTTCACTGACAAACGAGACATTTGTCATTATCAGATTCCCTCTTGCATTATATTCAATGTTAGGCTAAAGTAGTTTTAACATTTATTCTCAGACACTGTTAAACATGTATTTTAATGCACAAAATGTATCAAATGCTTGTCGTAATCATAACTTTAAACTTTGATATGATCATTTAAATGTTGTTCAAGCTTTTGGTTTCACTTTTACTGCAGAGTGTTTCATTTTTTTGGCTCCAGTCACTTTGAGAAAAAAAATAGGCCTACATTCAAATCATACTTTCAAAACAATAGTTCTGTGCTACAAACTGAATGTTATTTACAATTTAATTACCTGTTATTAACAGCCTATGCAGGTTTTACTAAAGTAGAAATCATTTGTGGGCACACGTGCGTTTTCTTTGTAGGAAACAAACGTGTGATTTACAAAATCGAATACGACATTAAATGAAAAGAGAAATGACATTTTTGGGTGAATTATACTTTATAAATACAATATGCTTACTCTTTCAACACCATTTGGAGGTGTTCACAATGCTGAGCAATATATATATAAAGCAATGTGAAGACTTGTGAAGTCATCTAATGCTTCTCTCCTGAACTTGAAAATATAATAGGCTGAATTGTAGAGATGCTAGATTAAGATCGTGTGGGGGGTCGAATCGATATCACAATTTGTTTTTTGATTAATCGTGCAACCTAACTAGAACATAAACAGTGCATTTTCATGTCAGATACAGTACTTTGCACATTGTTTGTATTTGTATGTCAAGTACACTAGTACACGCTATGTTATTGAGCACCTCCACACAGCCGAGAGTGAAACCACTTGCAATTTTCAGCTTGCCACATTTTTTTTTATTGAAAATGAATTAAACACTACCACTCCTTCCTGTGTAAAACCAATTTAAGACTGATGTTGTTGAGGATAGCAAGAGGATGATAGAGGAAGAATTGCTGATCCTCTGCAGGAGAGTGCAGTCAGCACACCTCGTGAGAGACGAGGGAAACAAAAATGGGGAGATTTTTTTAACATGGTTTTTTAATACTGTTTTCGGTTCGGTTCTCATGGCTTGACACGTGTTTTTTATTTATTTATTTATTTTTATTCTATAGGCAATAGGAAAAGTTAAAAGTTAAAGAGAAAACAACCAAAGACATTACAAGTTATTATGGATGTAACGGTATCAGAATTTCACGGTACGGTAATACCTCGGTATGAATGTCACGGTACGGTATTTATTGAATCATTTACAGGAAAAACAAAACTTATGAAAATACTCCAAAAAAGTGCCAAAAGTGTCAATGACATACAAATTAGCCATCTATCTGTAAGCTTTGAAACAGGAACTTCAATTTTAATAACAAAAAATTATTAAACCATGTACAAAAATAAAGTTTCAATTTAGTATTGTTGAAAACTCATCACATTCAACATTTAATCACTCACTCACTTAGATAGAGATGGGTTTTAAGGAAAATTATCATATAAATATAATCTGGTAAAAGCTGGTATCTCTGGGCATTTAAAATGTCCCCTGCAACAGAAAAAAACCCCTCTCATTTGGGACTGAGGTTTCTGGGACAGAGAGATATGACTTGGCCCAGGTTGACAGCAGTGGGTAACGTTGTGCATTGTCTTTCCCCCACTTGAGAGGACAAGCCATGAGTGAGAGAGGTCTCATGTCTGTATCAATCTGAACAGTGTGCTGTGTCACACCCTCCGTCCCGCCCTTCAGTAGGCGCACGACAACACCGCTCTTGAGTATGCACGCTCAACCCCCCCTCCCCGCTTTACAGTACGCGCGCGACATCACAGCTGATCAGAACGCGCGCAACAACACCACTATTCAGTACGCGCGCGACAACACAGCTGATCAGAACGCGCGAAACAACACCGCTATTCAGTACGCGTGCGGCGACAACACCCGCTTCAGGTTCGATCATTTCCAGCTCTTTTTGATGCCCGCTTCTAGCAGCACACTCCATTTCCGCATTACTGTATCTGTAGCGACAACAGACCGCAAGGGATGATGGCCACCCCTGGGCTGATGGGAATTGTAGTTTTCGCTACCTCCCGTTTGCTTCATTTGCCTGAGCAAATTTTCTCAGAAGACCTATAGTTGTACCGAGTCATGCGACTACGGTAATATCGGAAAAAATTAATATTGCGGTATGACGGTATTTACAATACCGTTACATCCCTACAAGTTATTGGATATTATTGTTTAACATCAGAAAAAAAACTCTTATTTTACAAATCACGCATCACAACGAAAACATGCGGGGAGCCATAAAGGTTGTATTTTTGCCTCCCGTTAGTGATGCGTAAATGTCGGTTTTATCTGCGGGCACTGCGGATAAACCACTGGTCGGGTAATAAAAAATACATTATAGTTAGCTAATTGCAGGTCGGTTGCGGGTGTATAGCGGGACATGGCAGTGGATCAGCGAAAAAGCAGAGAGTCAGCTTAGCATTATTCACTGCAGTCTGCAGCTGGCCGCGTTTCGGAGGCGAGGCGGAGATGGCGCGGCCGCGCGGGGATATAAAAAGCGGAGAGCGCGATTTTTCTTTTGATCTCGTTTTTGGTGTATTTTGCTGACATGATTATGATTATCGTTGTTTTTGCTTTCGTTCGGGTAAAATTATTTTGCATTACTTTTGCCCACTTTGAGAAATTTTGTGAGTTTTGTTAATTTTTATTTAGATTGATTTGTATGTTTTCTTTTTTTTTTTTTTTTGGCTCGGCTCTTTCCCGACAATATTCAGCTACCCTATCTTCTCAAGTTCACTCTTTTCTCAGAGTAAGGTGGATAGGGAAGATAACGTACAACTTCCATTTTGCAAACACGTAGAAAAAGTATTGTTAAAGACATCAGGTAAGAGGTGAATCTCATCTTTATATTTATTTTATTCAGAATAGGGAAGAATGCGGTGCACTGCGCTGAAGGACTTTTTTTCTTTTCATCAGTTTTTAGCGAGGTAAGGGGTTATTTATAAATTAGAAATGTTTTGTTATTTCTTTCTTTTGTTTGGCTTCACTATCGTCCCCTTATTCGAGTTTAACAATTTTTTGTTTGATCCTTTCAATTTGCTACTTTATAAAATAAAAAACCAATGCAATGCGCTGCTACAACCTAACCGGGGAAATTTACATTAACACAGTTTTAAACCGCAAGAACTTACCTTTTCCTGATTGGACTAGAAACCCAAAGCCACTCCAACAAACATCTCCACCTTCTTGTCTCTCCCACCTATTACACAACAAATACCGATTACGAAAGCCAAAGATCAAATCAACTAAATTTAAATTAGACGAGCCCCCATATGTTACACCTGGCTCAGGGATGTAACATAATAAGGGAGACGACAAGGAGAAGTATAATCAAAAAGAATATTTATTTAACTCAATTTAAATTATATAATCAAAATATCAGTATCAGTATGTTCAATCAGTGTGAAATGCAAATGAATGGATGCGGTAAATGTTGTCAGTGATAGTGTATGGATGCAAAAGAAAGCATAATGGCCAAATAGGAGCGCTGCTCTGGCCAACTGCCAAATGAATGTACAGCGGCCCCGACAAACTCTCTGCCGGGGTTTAAATAAGGGCGCTGACCAGCATCAGGTGCGCTGAAGGCACGCCCCCAATCTGGAATCAAAATCAAACACACAAACAAAACAACGCAGTCCTAACATATATTATTTTTCTTAGTGTAAACGTTGTAGTGTAAATATCCTTAATGCAGCCATAGAGCAAGCTTCAAGTGTTCATTGGGATGTGTTGGAGATTGTGCTGTTAACGTTACGCATAGTGCGTAAATATTATTGAGCAATTATCGAACTGCCATTATTGTTTTATCAAAATATTTTATATCATGATAATTACCGATATCGAATTATCGCCCAGCCCTAATGGGAAGCACTGCATTGGATGGTGAAAAATTTCTGCCTTACGTTATGTGTCCACAGAAGCATTTTTACTCAAGCTGAGATTTTTGTTGATGTCAATGTAAGCGCTGCATTTTTTTCTTTAAATAAGTGAGTTTTTAACGATGGAGATGCTAGCATATTCAGTTGCGCAAAAACGGCAACAACTTTGGACACAAGTTTATTAAGACACTTAAGTAATTCATTGTCATTTAAATCATTTGTTTATAACTGCAGAGTAAATTATAAACAATTTTACTAGATTCAGTCAAACAGATTGATTTGCAAAAAAAAAAAAAACACTTGCTCAAAGATCAATACTTATTCTGCTCTGGAAACTATGTTGGTGAAAAAGGAAAAAAAAAACAACGCAGTATTTTGTCCTATCTTTGTTTAAAATCAGTTGTATAAACATTTGCAATTATGATTTTGCACTGATAGTCAGGAAAGCAACACTATTAGCAATATTGTTAAACTGTTTGTCATAGATATATTTGCGAAAGCATGAAGGTTGCATGTTGCTGATATGACAATTGCCATATTTGGCTAAATTAGTTTGGAAGTAGGCAAGTCCACTTGAAGTCCCTGAAAAATGTATCTACTTCCCGCAAACCCTCCAGAAAAAGACTCATCTGATGCATCACCGAAAGCGATCCAAGGTTTAATTGCACGTAATTGCTTGAAGTAACCGACCACTGACGATCTGAATGACTCAATGCTGCTGCTTCCTGAAAGCGCTTGTGGTATAGGCATACAGGAAGGAGCTGTCCATTTATTAGTTATCAGCTCAAACATCTTTTGCATTATTGAGGGAAGCTCTTGCATCTGAAATGTGAACAAAACTCTTGTCTGCAAGTCATCTTAACTGAAGCTGTTTGTTTTGTTCAACAGCCAAAGGATGTGAATCCCGGCGACCCGACTGTGTAAAACAGCTCTAGTCAAGCCAAGACAAAGAGTGGAGTTAAAACAAGCATGAGGCTGGTGGCCTCCACACCAACTACAGCAAACACGCTTCACCCCAATGGAGTTTTAACCCCTGCAGGAGTACAGACTGCCTCGGTGAAGGAAAACAGGTATGTATGAGCACACACTGATATAGCAACCCCTCCCTTTGGTTCTGCCCTCGAACATCGAACAAAATACAAGAGCGAGAGAACAGAGAGATAAAACTGAGGGTCCCATGTGCCATTGGACTGCGGGGCTTTCGCCATGAGCAGTACTCTGGGCAAAGATAAAGACTCTAAGGAGAGGGAACCCAAAGCTGAAGGGAAATCCAAAACCAAAGGGAAAGATGCCAAAGATGGGAAGAAAGACACAAGCGGTGCTTCGCCCGCGGTGGCCTTTACCTTGGACAGCACGATAAAGCGGCCCAATCCGCCGCCCAGCACGCGCAAAAAATCCAGCAATGCCGAGGTCATCAAGGAGCTGAACAAGTGCCGCGAGGAGAATTCGATGCGCCTGGATTTGTCCAAGAGATCCATCCATCTGTTGCCCTCGTCCATCAAGGAGCTGACCCAGCTGACCGAGCTCTACCTGTACAGCAACAAGCTGCAAAGCCTGCCGCCCGAGGTGGGATGCCTGTCAGGATTGGTGACGCTGGCGCTCAGTGAGAACTCTCTGACCAGCCTACCTGACTCGCTGGACAACCTGAAGAAGCTGCGGATGCTCGACCTGCGGCATAACAAGCTGCGGGAGATCCCGGCTGTGGTGTACCGCGTCAGCTCCCTCACCACACTCTACCTGCGCTTCAACCGCATCACCACCGTAGAGAAGGACATCAAGAATCTGTCCAAACTCACAATGCTGAGCATCCGAGAGAACAAGATTAAACAGCTGCCCGCAGAGATCGGTGAGTGCAAACAGAAAAAAATATATAATTTTTTATTTTAATTAATATTTTAATTTTAATTAATAAAATTGATTTAGTATTCTCTTTAACTAATCTCATATTTGCTTAAAGGGGTAGTTAGATTTTAAACATAAAAGAGATTCCTTTTAAATCCCTTTTAAATTAAAACAATGTGGAATGGGGCAACTGCTTAATAATAATTTATATGAAATTAAACCAAAAATAAATGAAAGACACTTAGCAGATTATAATTTTGAGACCAGGCATGATCAAACCGTCTGTACTAGATGTCGAATTCGACATTCTAGGTTGACTGATTTCTATTTACTCAAAAACGATGACCCACCTAAATGTAATCATTGCCAGGCTGCTCTTAATATCAAACATATTTTGTTGGAATGTAAAAGTTTGTATACAATTAGACAAAATTTTTATAAGGAGAGCACTTTCATGGACATTTTTAAAAAGGCACCACCAGGAAGAATCTTAAATGATTTATCAAAAATTTAACAGAAAAATCATATTTAACTTTGAATATATTTTTGTGTGAATTTTGTTTATTTATAATTTACATACTTATTTAAGTAACTTTTATTGTAATACGAATCTGTTTGTATTATGTAATGTTTTTATGTATATCTATCTTGTCATGAAATAGCCATAAGTTGTTGATGTGACAATAAATAATAAATAATAAATAAATAAATAACATAAAATGTGAATATTTTGATTACATTAAAATTTATTGTCTCTGTCAATATTTTCGAACTATTGTATTTGATTTACCAAAATCACACAAGTGGTATTTTCACATCCAAAACGGAGAGACGTAACATCCATAACGAAGCTTTTTCCTCATAGATGCAAAAAATGTCAAATAAAATAAAATCTATTGTTTTTGTACTGTAGTGAGCAAACCTTTATCCTTTCGATTAGCGTTATTTATTTTGGGTTGTGCAGTTTAATTCACAGAATTCCTACGAAGCTTGTTGTAGACTGTAAACTCGTTAACTTTTTTGTCACATCCGTAACGCATGTTTATTTTCCTCATTTAAAATATAAATTTTTTTTCAGATTTATATTTTCCTGGTCCCTTAACTCTGTGGTTAGTTGTTGTGGAAAATATAAACAGATGTTTCAATATAATCTTAACATATACTCTCTATATGATTTTCTGTTTTAAGTTTTTACTGCAAATGTCATATCCATAATGCTGCAATTGCTCTTATATCAAAATAAATGTTCTTATGAAAAAAAAATTTTCTTATGCCTAAATAACAGTTAAAATAGATATTGAAAACATCACCATTTTATTTTCGAAAGCTTAATTCTAAACCCATTTCTAAAATGAAATGACACAAGAAAAAGTACTGAAGACACGAAGAAAGAGAGGTGTAAAAAGGCAAGGAAAGCCCAGACTGCAGCTGAAATCTCTCAGCAGATAGAAAGAAATGCTGCCTCTCGTCAGTGTAAATGGAAATTAGCTGATTCAGTCTTTGAAGATGAAACCAGAGATGTCCACAAGGCAATGATCCCAAACACAGATTAGGGGAAACTCAAATGCTTTTAGACAAAGAAAATCAAGCTGCTAGAATGGCCCAGGCAATCCCCTGACCTGAATTCAATAGAAAATAAGAATTAAAGATCACAGAGTTCCTAGACGAGACTCACTTAACCGTCAAGTTTTTTAAACTTTTAAAATATGAGAACAAAAATCCCATCTGATCAATTCATGCTGCTTCATTTTCCATACGAGAGACGCCTTGAAGCGGCCATTCCCAAAAAAGCCTTTTACACAAAGTAAAAAATACATTTTAGTAGTTATGTACTTTCTTCTTGTGTCGTTTCATTTTATTACACGTAACTAATTGATTAATTGATTTACTAATTTTGTTTTGTTTTATTTGTTTAATTGTATAATTTAGGTTTTTACTACAATCTGGTTCAATTTCATGTCAACACTGCTATGCATTTTTAGCAATATTTTCAATTCACTTTTTGCATTTTATGTTAATTACATTAAACAATAATATAAACAAACATGACTATTGACTAATCTGTATCTTATCTGCTTCCTGTTTTCTATTAAATGAGTTGGGCTGGAAACACGAATGACTGAAAGAAAAAAATACTGCCTCTTTTGATAGGTCAACAGATCTGATAATGGCCTTTGGTCTGTTTATATGTATTAGAAGTGGGAGAAAAAAAAGATTTTCTATTTCATGATGAATCAAATCTAATGCACTTTTGAGTGAGTCTATAAAAGCTTGATTGGCTGGTTTAGATGTGGCAAATTAGCTTTTAATTGGCACAACATTAAAGAAAAGCCTGGGACACTCAAAACAAGGAGCGAAGCAAAAGCACTAAAGCAAAAGCTTTCCGACTTTTGGAAGTTTAGATACTTGCTCAAGGGTTTTGTGTACTTGTATGTATGCATAGAATTAGCAGCCAGCAAAACGACAGTCTGAAATGTTTGCATAAGTGCCTTCACAGCACACAGCTGTGGTTGAAAGTGAAACTTTCTGACGCATCACTTTCAATCATAATGCATCAGAGAACTGATTTTTTTCCCCCTCCCACTTCGTCATTGCATAAAATCCCTTACAGTGAACTTTTCTACTTTGAGTTGTTCATTTTGCAGCGACTCTGTTGTCTTGTGTTATAGGTGAGCTCTGTAACTTGATCACGCTGGATGTAGCCCACAACCAGTTGGAGCACCTTCCTAAAGAGATTGGAAATTGCACTCAGATCACCAACCTTGACCTGCAGCACAATGATCTTCTCGATCTGCCTGAGACTATAGGTGAGGATGAGCTCAAAAAGACATCTTTAGGACTTTTGCCAGTTTTTTTATTTTAGAATCCCCTGTTTAAGTATAATCTAACGGGTGGAGAAATTATGCTTTGATGCCCATGTAAATATAAACTTTACACATTTAAATCAAAAGCTTAATTCACCCAAAAAATTAAAATTGTTATTAATTACTCACCCTCATGTAGAATATTTTTATAATCATAGAAAATTGGTGTTTATAAAAAGTGATAAACTTAATCTTTTTGCCATGAAATAGCCATAGAAGCTGAAATGGCAATAAAATTAAAATTCTCTCTCTCTCACCCTCATGTTGTTCAAAACTCCTGAGACTTTCGTTCATCCTCAATGGAAGTTTTTTGACTCTGTTAAATTCTCAAAACAAACTATATTCCTTCAGTGGTTTAATCGGAATATTATTAAGCGTAATGTGATTTTGGATTCTTCAAAATAAAAGTTACAATTCAACTACATGCTAGAGCTAGGATAAAGACCCAATCCCAATTCTTCTCTTTAGCCCTTTCCCTTACACCTTCATGTGAACGTGCAAAATGAGTGTCCCAATTCTCTTTATAGCATGAAGGTGTAGGGCTAAAGGGAAGGGCTAGATAGCCCTTGAAACTGAGATTTTTCAGGACCTTACTCGAATCCAAAGAGTACAAATATTTCCCAGAATACTCAATCTACAACAGCAGCATGGCTGCACAAGGAAGATAAATTAGGTTTTTTTTCATTATTACCAAGTTTTATAACAAACAAGCACAAATTAATACATAAATAACAGCATGTGTGTTTTACCGTCATGCTTTTAGAAAAAAAAAAAAAAGATTAACATTCTGACACTCGAATACCCTGTCAGAAAAGTGTCATGGCTGGGAATGACCTTTTTACGGTGTCTGGTAATATGTTAATGTAGTTTTCTTATAGATGAACTTGGCCATGGTCTAAATGCACAGTATAGTTACGATCTCATTGCCACATTATATCGTTATGATAACATAATATCGTTGCCTTCAGTGATATCCTGAAGGTAAATACCAAAACATAATGCAACTGGAATAACTACAGCAGTTGCCATGGTCAATCTTGTATGAAGTACAAGCTCATGATGACATGTGCAGGTTTTGTAGTGCAGTCCCATTTCTTACAGCTGTTTTATACTTCTGCTTTGAGTGATCGGCGTGACCCATTGCACATGCCTTGCGTGTTGCCGTGCATTTAAACTTCTGCTGTTTGTGTTGCTCTGCAATAACACTTCTGAAACGGTAGCTGGCATTAGGTTTTTATGTTTCTCTGTGTCGAGTTTCTTCGCTGGTGTTTTGTTTTTTCTGAACGCTACCTTAATGTACAAGTAGCTAAAACTCGCTCATTTTGAGGCAGGAACCGGCGGACATGCGACAACTTTAATCATAAGGTAAACGCAAAACAAAACTTTCCATCTGGAGCAGGACTCGATACTTGTAAACAATCTTGTCAGTGTTACCAAGCCCACCAATCACAGAGCTTGCGCTATGCGTTGTTGTGACGTGTAGTTACATTTTTTGAGAGGTGCGTGATGGCCACAGCGAGGACTAATCGACCACATGAAGGCTGCACCGGAACATACGTGTGTGCCTGATGCAGAAGTATAAATCAGCATTAGGGGGTAACATTTCAAGCCCTTCACGCAAATTTTACAAATTGTAAAACTACTCTGTCAGGACGGCTTGAGGGTAAGTAAATTATGGGGTGAACTATTCCTATAATGCTGATGCTAATCGACTCCATTATATAGAGAAGTATGAGAAGAAAAAGAAAAAAAGGCATACATCATTAGGACAGCACCATTCTGAATAGATGATTCAATTTTGGGTGAACTATCAAAGTAGGATTTCTCACCTTCATTTACTGTTTCAGGTAACTTGGCAAGTATAAACCGTCTAGGTTTGAGGTATAACCGCCTATCAGCGATCCCTCGATCTTTAGCAAAGTGCAGAGAGCTGGAAGAGCTCAACCTTGAAAACAACAACATCTCGGTTTTACCAGAGGTAAGGGTTGCTTTTCCTCAGTCCAGCTGATAATTATTATCATGCTTGTATATATGTATATATGTGTGTATTACATTGGTCCTTGTCTGTTCCTAATCAGGGGCTTCTCTCCAGTCTGGTGAACCTGACAAGTCTGACGCTGGCGCGAAACTGTTTCCAGTCTTACCCAGTGGGCGGCCCGTCCCAGTTTTCCACCATCTATTCTCTCAACATGGAGCACAACCGTATCAACAAGATCCCTTTTGGCATTTTCTCTCGAGCAAAAGTGCTTAGCAAGCTCAATATGAAGGTGAGAGCACAAAAATTGTGGAGAGTGTAAAGTAAGGACACCAGCCTAAAGACTTAAGACTAGTGGCCTGTACCAGGATGCTGGCTGAACAAACTCTTAAATTAGGGGATTCATTTCTTGTTGACAAAACTAAACCTGTGCAATCACACTGTGTTGGTGTTATAATGCCGATCATCAACTTTCTCTTTTAACTTGGACTTTGACTCCAAGTTCATTGAGTGCATGCATATGAATATGGGACATTAATAGCAAGCAACCATTCACTTGCCTTGGAACAGAAAGATACTGTGACTGACTTCTCGCGAAATTAAAAGGTTTAAAAGTACAAAAAATTGTAAAAATGCGTATGCAGCAAGGTAAAAAAAACAGTCCATGAAGGAGGAAAGCTTTGTGCAAGTGAAGTTAGTAAGCATAGTGTATAATATGTACTGTGTAGGTATACAGAGACTCTTATCTACCCTCAAAAGGATTTTTGCTGCTTGTTTCAACTGCTTATTTAAAATGAGCTGAAACAACACATTTCTTGTTTTTTTTTGGAACGGCATTATTGTTCGATGAACTCAAATTTGTTCAACCAATTAAGTTAGCTTAATCGCTTTGTGTTGGGACAACATAAAGAAATTGTGTGTAACCCAACATTTTTACAGTGTAAGCTTTATCTCCTGATTTAAAAAAAAAAAATAAAGCTTTAAATTCCAGCTGTGTATCTGTACATTTATATACACATTTATCGACCACTTTATTCGATACACTTGTCCAACTGCTTGTTTAGACATGTAGACAAGGTCAACACGATCTGCTGCAGTTTAAACTGAGCAACAGAATGGGGAAGAAAGGTGATTTAAGTGACTTTGATAGTGGCATGGTTGATTGTGCCAGATAGGCTGGGTATTTCAAAAACTGCTGATCTACTGGGGTTTTAACGCACAACCATCGCTAGGGTTTACAGAGAATGGTCACAAAAAAAAGAAAGTATCCAGTAACAATACAGTTAGCCCACGGTTCAATACATACCTCGTATTTTTTGACACTGTTTTTGGTTTGGTTCGGTTCTCATGGCTTGACACGTGTGTTTTTTTTAAATTCTATTGGCAATAGGAACAGTAAGAGGTTGATGTTTTACTCAAAAGCCAAGAAAAGTACACTAGTTCCTAGTGTATTGTATTAGAAAAAATCAACACTGAAATCTCACAGCTGCTGGTAGCCCATGTACAAACACAAAAAACATATTTGTACTTAAATAAACAAAAATAAACCATCTTAATTATCTCAGTGCTAAAAAAAATCGCGAGACTGTAGTCTGTAATGCGGATCGAGTGCTTTTTATAAAATGACAAAAGTCCGCATCTCCAACCACCGAAAACGGCTGCTAATATTTAACAATAAACACCCGCACTGCCTTTGATATTTTTATGTGTCTCTCGGAAACAGTTGGGTAGATTCAGCGAGGGATTGTTGCTATTTGGAGGACTTTATTACCTTCTCTGCTATCCTGCCTTCAGACAGTGATATTGCTGGGTATTTTTCTTTTATTGCCTTTATACTTACCGGCAAAACCGAAATGTCCTCAAATCCACAGATTAGAAAGATGCTGGTGCTTACTCGTACTGTTGCCTCCCTTCGCCAGCGCTTCCTTGTACTGTTGCCTCAGCCTCACTTCACCGCCACTCGCAATGTTTAAGTATGGAATGACCGTCAAGCGCCCCCTAACTTTAGAGCATAGTGATTGGATATTTACTCACGGGGAGGAGTTTCCTTATCTCAGCTCATGGATTTAGAGGCACACACAGTCAATTCGGGAGATATAAAACACGCATAAATTATTTAAATGCAAAACCAAGAAAACCGCAATTCACAAGCGTGTATTGAACTGTGGAGGTCGTACCGTACATTTCAATATTATATTGAGAACCGTGGCATCCCTAGTATCCAGTAAGCGTCAGTTCTGTGGGTGCAAAATGCCATTGATGCCAGTTTCACTTCCATGGTGCCACTTCTGTCAGCTAAGAACAGGAAATTGAGGCTACAATTTGCACTTTGCAATTTGCAATTTGTAAATTCATATTCATTCAGTTTTTAAATTAATTCCAGTAATATTATTGACTAATATGAAAATATTTATATGATTTATTTACAATATGGTTTGTAAAGTAATATTTTCTGTCTTTCAGTAGGTATTTTATATGAGAGATTTGCTTTGTTTACCAACTAAAGTGGATCTAAATATTAAATACAAATTAAAAAGGTATTAATTTTTATTTTATGTATTAAGGTTTAAGTTGCGATACTCCCAAAATCATTCTGCATAAACCTGCAGATTTTTTTTTACAAAAATTCTGTGCAGAAATAGCAAAAAATGTCTGCAAATTCTGTCTGGCCCTACTTTGGACTTATAAACATCTATGTTAGGTAAATGTTGTAACTCTAAATCTTACAAAAAATTAAAAGAATAATGTTTTAACCATTCTCTCTTTTTTTAAAATCATATTTACAGGACAACCAGCTAACATCTCTGCCACTGGATTTTGGGACGTGGACCAGTATGGTGGAGTTGAATCTGGCAACAAACCAGCTTACTAAGATTCCAGAGGACATCTGCGGCCTTGTGTCTTTAGAGGTGATGTTTCATGAAAGCAAATCTATTTTTGGGTCTTCTTTTGCTCATGTTTTTTTTTTTTCAATTCCATTCATGTTTAATTATTAAGCTCTTTTACAATGTAGATTGTGTCAAAGCAGCTTAACATTTGATTTGATTTGATGTATTTATTTCGAACAGAAAAATCATACACCACTTTTTTAAACAAAACACATTTTAATCAGAAATCGAAGTTATAGTAAATTGAAACTGTGTCAGTATAGTTTTCAGAGTTTAAGTTCAGTTCAGTGTGGTTTAAGTTTTACGGCTGAAAGCCCAAACACTGAAGAGAAAATCCATTAATGCGCAGCTCCACAACTCCCAAAGCACAAGTTGTGTTTTTTTTTTTTTTTTTTAGATGCTTACATTGTCCAACAACCTGTTGAAAAAGTTGCCTTATGGGATTGGCAACTTAAGGAAACTACGAGAGCTTGATCTGGAGGAGAACAAACTGGAGTCTCTCCCTAATGAGATTGCCTACCTTAAGGATCTGCAGGTAGGACAGTGGTCTTTTAGGAAGAGACAGTTGTTACCGGTGGAGTCTTTGCATTACTGTGTGGAGCCCCTCAGCATTTGAAAAAGTGCATTCTTTAAAAAAAACTGGCGTTTTTTCATAAGTCTTTTGCATACTTTCTCAGATGATTCTCCAAATACACCTTGTATATTCTCACAAAAAAATATCCAAATATATTAGGTATTTAATAAATCAATATAATATATCAGACACTCTAGATTTCCACGATTTTTTTTGTAATTTTGTTTTTTGGAATAAAAAATGACTTCTTTTTGTGGTGGTAATGTGGCCAGAAATTTGCAGACAATTTTGTGATTTATAAAAAAAATATCTGGTAAAATGACAGTGACACAAATCATAAAAATAAAGCTTCTTTATTTTGGTCTCTTGTCAAGACAAGATATAAAATAGATCTAATATGGTATGGATTAAGCCAAAGGAAGGTTGTATAAATTTTTTTCTCAATTTTACTTTCTCTTTCAATGATTTCACTCCCCGGATCCGCTGACATCATGTACCTCACTTGAGCTGACATGCGTTAGGGCTTCCCCTACTGGAATACACCTAAAACACGGATTGTCGTCAAACTCGTCAATGGCAGGGAAGCATAATCTGTTGTCGATGATGGGAAAAAATTTAACGAAATCATTTATTGTTTTTACGCACATCATAACTACCTGCCATACATGTAAAGCAAAAAAATGTCCTTCAATTCAGTCACGTCCAGCAGCCGTCATTTTTGAACCAATCTCCATCATTGTAAGTTGCTTGCTTTTACTGTCTGTTCCTTTACTTTGTTTGTAAGATGTTTGCTCCCACTTTCTTTTGCAGTCTGAAGCATGTCAAACGATTCGTGCCATGTTATTCTCTTGATTTGTACCACAGAACGTCTAGCATTGGCTTCACATGTAAATCACTCCGACTTTATATGCGTTTGCTTACTGCACAGGCTGAAAAACAATTTCCACCCACTTCCATGTAATGTTAGGATTGTGAGGGCGCAGGTGAGAGAGACACTTAAATGAATCACGTGAGCTGCGTATGCAACCTCTTTCAGTCATGTAAAACAATTAATTGCAAATAAAATAATACACCACATTTTATTTACATCACAAATGTTCTGCATGACTCACTGGAGTGTGCTGATGCTTCAGAAAGAGTGCAAAGTTTTGTGCAAACTTCCTCTTGGTAACCATTTTTTTTTTTAGCAAAGGAAGATAAGCTTTTTGTGTGTGAAGGCAAATTGTCTCGGTGAAAAACAAATGTACAAAAGATTCGAAGGTTGGAAAAAGATTTAAGTAACATTTAAGGACACAATTCTTAAAGTTAACCCAAGCATCTTGTGAGAGAATTTAGTTGTAAATGTTGTTTTTTTTTTATAACAAAACACAAGTGAAAGCAAAGTTAATCTGGGCTAGCATATGTTATTGGAAAGAACAAAATGTTTCTTGCAAGCACTCCAAGATATTGTGAGAGAACACTATTTTCAAGCGAACCCAACGATTTTGCAAGCAAACACAGACATTTTAAGAAACCAAAGGCAGAGTTCATCAGGGCCATTCTAAAGTTTGTTGGGAGCATTTTGAGATTGGGACATTTCGTGGAAGGCAAGAGTTTTATGAAATCAAACAGAGTTCATCAGCCTGCCAAGTTTGGGAGAAAAGAAAGCAAAGATATTTGAAGAGGATGCAGAAGTTCTTAAGACTATTTATGGAGAACACAAATTCTATGCTCAAACATAATTTCTTAATTTCAAACACATCTCTCAAGAGAACCCAAAACATTCAACAGTTTTATGGGCGAAGAAATTTTTTTTAAAATGTTCATAAGTTCATACCATCTAAGATTAGTGGTGTACAGTAACAAATTACGAATACTCAAACTACTGTAATTGAGTAGTTTTTCTCAGGAATTGTAATTTACTAAGCAGTTTTACAAATGTGTACTTTTACTTACCCTTGAGAACATTTTTAGTGCAGGATCTGTTAGGGCTGTAACGATACACGATATAAAATCGAAATCGCGACACTCAGATCTACGATCCTGTGTCGCGGTGTGATAAGGGAGAATCGCGACACACCCACCCCGTGATACCTTTCCAATAAATCACGCGTGCCTGCAAAAGTTGAGCTAATTAACTCTTTTTTTCGTTCGACATTACAAGCACTGCTCCGTTTAAGCCCTCGCAATATTTAGCCGGGAGAGCTTGCACGAAGCTGTGTGTGCTGAATGTGTCAAGAATATCAAAAACAAACCCAACTTAACCCCGCTTGACAACCGACAACGCCAGAAACATTGCCAATGCTGTCAAAGCGGCCGGATTTTCAGCGCATATACGATGGTTTGCTCACACTGTTAATGTGGCTGCGCAAAGAGGGATGGGCGTTCACCAGATGTCAGGTAACAGCGCAAACTTTTCTGTAACCCTGCTGTGCGCTTTCTGTTTGAACCTTTGAGAGTGCTGACTGACAGGTGCGTGAGGTCAGAAAACACGACGAAGCTTTCAGTTAAAATGAACACAGTTTCTATAGTTATACTTTATTTAGAGATAAAGGTATATGGCTCTGCATATAATCACTCTATCTTGCTGGAGTTTATAGCCGTTTCGCTTTACTTCAGGACGCATTAACACCGCTCTGAAGGTCTAATGGTTGTTTTAAGTTATCCAGAGCTGTATGAATATACAAATCTTGAATATCAAGATTTAGTATTAAATATTACAATTGTAACAACACAGACAGCAACACTTTTGCACAATCGATACCCAGCTGATTCAGTCTTTTCTTAAGAGGACCGCGCCTCTTCTTTTTTCCTTGTCAACATAAAGGCAGTGAGGTGCGCCTCGTTTTCGGCCACTTGTTTAACTGCAAGGCATACTTAATTTGCGGGACGATAACGTATAACCCGTGCCTACAGACACATTTGCCAAAGAAGCAAAATGGAAGAAGAATATTGCTGTTTGATACAGACCTGTTGATACTAAACCAGCGCTTATGTTGACCTGGATCTGCGTAATAAACGCAACAAAAAGGCTTTACTTTTTATTTTACAGCTTAAAGCATGTACGCAGATTAATGCAATATCATATTTAAACAAACTGTTTACAAAAAGTCTACATATGCGCGCGTGTTGTTGTTGTCTTTTCATCACGCAGCGGGCACTTGAACCGCGAGGGAGAGAGAGGAAAGCATAGGCTATATCAGGACATAATCTTTAAAATAATGATTTCTATTAAAAATGTAAAGGTTTTGTGATTATAATAATAACAGCGGGGCATTAAATAAATGCATATTTTCCGTGGAGCAAGCAATTTGAGGAAGTCAGCTATTTTTATTTGACGGAAGAAAAAAACATATGATTGAAAAAAAGCCCATGCCGGTTATTAAAAAGAATTAGTCAGTATTTTCGTTTTGTAATATAAATTAACTAGACAGTAAAGTTCGTCGAGACAAACTTTGAGGCTGGCTTGACAAAGCCTGTTGGTAATAGTTTGTTTAGTTTAAAAACAGTTTGAAAAAGTATAAGTAGCATGTTATTAGCATGATTCTAGCATGCATTAGCATGTTTCTAGCATGGATTAGCATGGATTAGCATGTTATTAGCATGAGTGTAGTACAAATTAGCATTTTATTAGCATGATTCTAGTATAAATTAGCATGTTTGAAAAAGTTTTTTCAAAGTTTGAAAAAGTATAAGTAGCATGTTATTAGCATGATTCTAGCATGCATTAGCATGATTCTAGCATGGATTACCATGTTATTAGCATGAGTGTAGTATAAATTAGCATTTTATTAGCATGATTCTAGTATAAATTAGCATGTTATTAGCATGCTTCTAGCATGAATTAGCATGTTACTAGCATGATTCTAGAATAAATTAGCATGTCACTAGCATGATTCTAGTATGAATTAGCATACTGCTAGCATGATTCTAGTATGAATTAGCAGGTTATTAGCATGATTTTAGCATGAATTAGCATGATTCTAGTATGAATTAGCATGTTACTAGAATGATTCTAGCATGAATTAGCATGTTACTCGCATGATTCTAGCATGAATTAGCATGTTATTAGCATGATTATAGTATGAATTAGCATGTTAGTAGCATGATTCTAGCGTGAATTAGCATGTTATTAGCATGATTCTGGCATGCATTAGCATGTTACTAGCATGATTCTAGTATGAATTAGCATGTTATTAGCATGATTCTAGTATGAATTAGCATGTTACTAGCATGATTCTAGTATGAATTAGCATGTCACATAGCATGCTTAGGTGGTTGCTAGGGTATTCTGAGTGGTTGCTAAGTTGTTGCTAGGCAGTTGCTAGGGTGTCCTGAGTGGTTGCTAGGTGGTTGCTAAGATGTTGCTAGGCGGTTGCTAGGCTGTTGCTAGGTGGTTGCTATGGTGTTCTGAGTGGTTGCTAGGTGGTTGCTAAGGCATTGCTAGGCGGTTGCTAGGGTGTTCTGAGTGGTTGCTAAGATGTTGCTAGGTGGTTGCTAGGGTGTTCTGAGTGGTTGCTAAGGTGTTGCTAGGCGGTTGCTAGGGTGTTCTAAGTGGTTGCTAGGTTGTTGCTAAGGTGTTGCTAGGTGGTTGCTAGGGTGTTCTGAGTGGTTGCTAGGTGGTTGCTAAGGTGTTGCTAGGTGGTTGCTAAGGAGTCCTAAGTGGTTGCTAAGCGGTTGCTAAGGTGTTGCTAGGTGGTTGCTAGGGTATTCTGAGTGGTTGCTAAGGCGTTGCTAGGCAGTTGCTAGGGTGTCCTGAGTGGTTGCTAGGTGGTTGCTAAGGTGTTGCTAGGTGGTTGCTAGGGTGTCCTGAGTGGTTGCTTGGTGGTTGCTAAGGCGTTGCTAGGCGGTTGCTAGGGTGTTCTGACTGGTTGCTAGGTGGTTGCTAAGGTGTTGCTAGGCGGTTGCTAAGGTGTCCCAAGTGGTTGCTTGGTGGTTGCTAAGGTGTTGCTAGGTGGTTGCTAAGGTATTCTGAGTGGTTG